AATGACTACTGACAGCAGCAAGTGGGGGAACCCTCACTGAGATAGAGGACAGGAAGTTTTGAAGGGGAGGAAGAGAGTATCTGTTGTTATCTAAATAGCGGTATCCAGCAGGCAGTTGCATACGGATATCTAAAATTGTAGTGAAAGTTATTGGCTGGAGATAAGCATCTGTGAATTATTAGCTTATACTTGGCAGTTGAATCCATGAGGATAGAGGAGAAAAACCAGAGAGAGTGTGGAAAATGAGAAGAGGGTCAAGAGCAGGCACTCAAGGTAATCACCGTTTAAGGAGCGATCAGAGAAAACTGACCAGGAGGTCAGAGGTATGGAAAGAATAGAGCTTCAAGCAGGAGATATGGCCAAGTGTGTGACATTCAACAGAGTGGTCAAATAAGATGAGATCTGAAAAGAGCTCTGCGTTTGGCAATGGTGGGAAGCCACTGACAACGTTTGCCCAAGAAAGTTTTGGCAGAGAGGTGGGGGACGGAGGCTAGGGGTGGAGGCAGCAATTCCTGCTTACTCTTTCAGGGAGTTTGACTATAAGAGAAAGAAAAACTAAAAGCAGTAGGAGAGGGTACTCCTGGAGTAACTGCTGTGAGGAAGGGAGAGGGTGGCAAGCAGAGCCAGCAGCCTGGAGACCAAGTTAAATGGCACAGGAGATACTGATTTGTAATGTCACCAGTCTGAAGAACTGAATAATTTCCTCCAGGAGTGCTCAAACATTCAGTTGTAAGATGTAAATCAAAAGTAGAGTGTTCTGGGCCGGCTCCGTGGCTTAGCGGTTAAGTGCGTGCGCTCTGATGCTGGCGGCCCGGGTTCGGATCCCGGGCACGCCCCAAGGCACCACTTCTCCGTCCAACGCGAGGCCGAGTCCCACGTACAGCAACTAGAAGGATGTGAACCTATGACATACAACTGTCTACTGGGGCTTTGGGGGGAAAAAAATGAATAAATAAAATCTTTAAAAAAAAAAAAAAAAGTAGAGTGTTCTTGGGATGAATTCTGCACAGAGGGGCAAGTTCATTGAAGTTGCTGGCAAGAGAATGATTGAAAAAATATACTGTCGCTGTGCTAGCCAATAAGATGACCGCTAGTCACTTGTGGCTATTTAAATTAAAATTAAGTAAGATTAAAAATTCCATTTCTCAGTCACACTAGCTAAATATCAAGTGCTCAATAGGGACTGGTGAGTACCGTATTAGTCAGCACATATATAGAACATTTCCATCATTGCAGAGTATTCTTTTGGAAAGTACTGCACTGTAGAGTCTAGAATGGATAGAGTTGAGGTCTTGATGAGATTGAAGAACAGATGTAGGTAAAGTAATGAGAAAATCTTTGGAGGAAGATATCTTGTGGACAGAGATAGGTACATTGAGGTTTAAGATTCTAGGGGCAGAGCTGTTCTTGGTGATAAAGTTCGAGGTTATGTCATGGGAGAGGGGCTGCTGAAATAGCCTGTGGATGAAGATCTTTGAAGTGGAAAAGAACAAAGAACTTTGAGGCAAGGTTGCTGGTGAGTTCATCCGTGCTGAAGTCTCCCAAATTGATAGCAATAATTGGTTGGAAAGAAAGACCTTGCATCTAATGCCAAAATCTTCAATGAGCAAAGAAATAGTGACACATGATTAGTAGCTAACAGCAATGAGAGAGGGAGACACCTCAAGAGGGAAGAGGTATGGCTCAAGGTCCCCAAGAAGTGTGATAAAACAAGCAGTGGCTGGGGACAAGTGGCATCCTTTGGGTAGGGCCAGATCTCAATGAAAGCACAATCTTGGGGGGAACATTTGATTAAAAGGTTGAAGACTTAGAAGAGTTTGTCACAATGGAATGAGGTTTCCAGAGGGCCTAGTAAAGCTTTGGAGGAAGTTTAGTAAAAGAAGGACAATTCATGAGTACAGATAAGCATAGTAACAGGAGGAAGAGATGATCTTTGAATACAGTCATGCTTCGCTTAACGATGGAGATATGTTCTGAGAACTGCACCGTTAGGTGATTTCGTTGTTGTGAGAACATCATAGAGCATACATATACAAACCTAGATGGTGTAGCCTACTACACACCTAGGCCATATGGTACTAACCTTACGGGACCACTGTCATATATGCAGTCCGTTGTTGACCAAAACGTTATACAGCACATGACTGCGTATGAGACATGCACTTGGGGTAGTTGCTGGGGAAGACCGAAGTCCCAGGTACAGTCAGAGACCTCACAAGGTTAGAAGACTATAGTTTTTGCATGACATTCAAACAGTTTATTGCTGAGGAAGTCCTCACATATTTTTTGAAACAAACTCCTCCAGCTTATTAGGGAGGTGTCTAGATGGATTCTTGAGTGCCTAGCTCCTGATATCATCATAGTAATCAGTTTTAACTATACCCGAACCATTTCTATTACCCAAGTACTGGGGAAGGGAGAGCATCTCAGTGCTTACGCACCAATGAAGTCCCAGTGAGTCTAGTAGCTGGGTGGCCTAAGGTCTGCAGTCGTAACAGGGGAGGCTGAAGCCACTTAGAGAAAACAGATCTTGAGCTGCATCTTCCCCATAGTGTCAGAGAGGGGATCAGTAGCTCTGAATGATGTCATGGAAGCCAGGAGTTGGTGAGGAACTATGGAGTATAAATTGTGAAATACTTTCAGTTCCACTTAGAATGGGCTTCAGAGTGATTTCCACCCCAGGGTGAGGAAAAAGGGTTTGGGGAGGGATGGATGGAAACAAATTTTTCCAGTCATTAGCTTCTCTCTTCCACTCTGGAGACAGAGGTAGAGATCCTCTCTTGCAGCTTCTCAAACTGGAGTTCCTGTTAAAATGCAGATTCTAATGCAGTAGGTCTGGGGTTGGGCCACAGATTCTGCATTTCTGACCAACCCCTCGGTGATGCCGATGCCTTTAGAACATAGACCACACTTTCTGTTGGTAGGTAAGGAGGGGAGCAGTTAGATGGGTGGAAGAAAAAACCCTTTTAATCTTCGGGAGAGGGGGCTTGGGTCAGATAAGTTGGACCGGTCTGTGAGTGGAGAGAGTGGGTGGGAAGGAGAGTGGGTACTGTGAGGCTCTGCAGAGAAACAACTGTAAATCAACAAGACAGAAGAAGCCAAAGGCGAAGTCGGTTTCCAGGCCCAGAAGGCCCAATTGACCACTGAGTAATAACATAATGTTGATCATTAACTGGCAGAATTTTCAACTCTATATTTGGTTTCTCTATTAGGTCATCTGCCCTATATTGTATGGCAAATTAGTGATAAAACTAGAATGAGTTTCCCCAGGGCTAGCTGCTAGAAGCTTTTACAGTAGGTGGCACTCTTACATTATCATTCAGAGTTTAGCAAAGGAATAGCAAGAGCCCCAGCATTGCTGTGTAAGGTAATTACTGAATACAGTAAACCTTCCTTAGGTCTCCCTTTCGCGGTTCCAGGTACCCAGGTAGATTTCTCACCTCCCTCCAGTACAGGAATGCATCCTATACAGATGCTGCATTTTATACTTTCAAGAGCTTCACAGGGTTCTGGTGAGCATAATGCAATAGGCAGTGATTCAAACTTATGCCAACTCGCACTGATGTCTGGAGTTCCCTTCCCTTAAAGTTCAAGACCACTGCCAACTCCCTTGATTATGTATATTCACTGGGCCACTCTGCACACAGTTCAATTTTGCCAAGTGCATGTCACTGTGATTGTCCTTCTACTCCCTCTTAGAATTGAAACCCATTGATCAGATCAATTTAAGGTCTCCTACCACCCCTCAAAGAACACCTCAAATGAAACCACTCTCGTCTCTCTCACCAGCCTACCTCTCTTTTCCTCCTTAATGTCAACATCCCTTTACTGAAGTCTTGAATGATGAAGCTTTATTTAGAACCCATCCTAACTTCCTCCCCAAGGTGGCATCTAACTTCATATTTACTGAGAAACAGCATTTCCCCCCTCACCCTGCACTTCTCACCCATGACTACTTGATTTCTCTGCCAAGAATCAAGTAAATCTGTGACCCAGAATAGGTTCTACAAAAACCCTAGAATCAATCACATTTAAGGAGTTTGGTGGCCCAAATCCCTTCCAGAAATTCCGATATGCCCCAGGGATGAAATCTTTTCTCTGAACTCTCCCAGCACATCCTCCAGGGGTTGTAAAAATTTCCAAGGGCAATGCATACTGGAAAGAGCAAATGTGTGGTACCTGGGGTTTCCCCAATACTCCAACAACACATCCTCACCTTCCCATCTATGATTCATTTCCAGAATTTCATTCATGTACCTTAAATGGTCTTTGACCACCACAATCCCAAAACGGCAGTTACATTTGCCCAGTTCTCTTTCTGATTCCTGAAAGAGCTTAGAGAGGTCACTGAGAATAGAGGTCTTAGTTGACTATTTGTGTCATTTCCAAAGTGTTTTATATCCTTGGGAGAGCTGGCAGTGAAAGCAGCAGTCAGGAGAAAAGCTTTATGAGGGGACCTATTTGAATCTCAAAGATATTACTCAATGTGATCCCCAACTACTGAGGCATAATGAAAGGAATGATATCAAATTTGTTACCATTATCAGAAAACTTTTCACTATGGCAGGCTAAGAAATAGGGGAGGAGGGAGGGGAAAGGAGAGCTTTGGTGACGGTGGAGAAGTAATGGAGCTACAGTGAAGAGAATGAAGGTAACAGATGGGTGAATGAGTTGTCTAACTCTGTTGGTTTTCCCTGTTCTGGGATTTAAATTCATGGAACCATAGTACTGGAAAGATCTTTAGAACATTTTGCCCACCCTTTCATTAAACAGATAAGGAAACTGAGCCTCATAGCAGAAGCAGTTCGCACAAGGCCACACGTTTAGTTAGCAGTGGAGTGAGGACAAAAGTCCTATTCTGCGGGTGCCAGTGTGTAAGCATAGTTCCAGAGTTTAATATCTAGTTCTTCAATATCATTACTGATAAGATAGCATCTGGGTATTGTATAAAGAGAAATGGAGTTGTTTTATTTTCTTTGCTCTTGTTTCTTCTTTCCGAATCTCCGCCTTTCCTTTTTTAGGTGCTGCTTCCATAAAGAGCCAGGCATATTTCAATGAGACTGGACACCTGCCATGCCACTTTCCAAACTCTCAAAACATAAGCCTGGATGAGCTGGTACTATTTTGGCAGAACCAGGATAAGATGGTTCTGTATGAGCTATATTTAGGCAAAGAGAACCCTGACAATGTTCATGCCGAGTATAAGGGCCGCACAAGCTTTGACCAGGACAGTTGGACCCTGAGACTCCACAATGTTCAGATCAAGGACAAAGGCTTGTATCAGTGTTTCATCCATCATAAAGGGCCCAAAGGACTGGTTCCCGCCTACCAGATGAGTTCTGAGCTATCAGTGCTTGGTATGTAGTCAATGGCATGTTCAGATCCCTGGCCTTCTTAGATGAGACTGCAATGAGCAGAGAAACATTGGTGTTGGGAGGAGGGGCCCTGTAGAGAGAAGGCAGAGGACCGCCATTTCTGGGAAGTCCATCTGAAGGGAATGCAGGGTTTGGGACTGGGGAACTGAAAGTCCTTTGTACTTTTTGTAGTTTGCTTCTGAAGGATCAGAAAGAATCTGCTTTGGGGACAAAATAGAGCTAACTGAATAAAGATAGTGAGGCTAAGTGAAAACCATGGTAATTTGGCCATTACGAAGTTTAAATAACCGTATAGGCCTAAAATCTCTACATTCACTTTCTACTTTGGTCCATGATATCTCACCCACTAAAACTTTGCCTGGAGCTCCTAGCAAGGGTGACAGCTGATTGATTTGGGTTTTCCCTTCAACCTCCTGAAGGTTGCTTATGAGTTATTTGCAGCCCAACTGTGAGCCCAGTAGACAGGAGGGAAATAACCCAGCACATATAATCCAAAAACTGGCAAACCAGCTCCTCTGGTTTTCCAGGCCTTGAAAAGCCTAAATGTCACTACAGGTTTTTTTTTTTATTATAATGCAGTAAAATTAATTATTTTCATTTTGATGTACAGTTCTATTAATTTTAACTTATGCATAGACTTATGTAACCACCACTATAAACAGGATACAAATCATTTCCATCACCCTAAAAGAATTTCCCCATGCTATCCCTTTATAGTCATACCCTCTCCACATCCATAACCCCTATTTTGCATCCTATAGTCTTGTCTTTTTGAGAACGTCATATAAATGGAGCCATACAGTATGTAACCTTTTAAAACTGGCTTCTTTTATTCAACATAATGCCTTTGAGATTCATCCAAGCTGTTGCATGTATCAAAAGTCTGTTGCCTCATATTACTAAATAGCATTCTACTGTTTATCCACTCAACTCATGGAAAGACATTGGGTCATTTTCAGTTTTGGGCTATTATGAAGAGAGCTGCTGTAAACATTCACGCAACAGTTTTTGTGTGAACATTAGTTTTCATTTCTCTAGGGTAGATACCCAGGTGTGAGATTACCAGATCCAGATTAATTTTTGATGAAACTAGAAAAGGCAGATCAACATTAATACTGAAACCACAGAGTAAAGCAGAGGCAAAAGCAGAAATAGAATGGAAAGTTGCCCCCTTGAAGCCCTGTGTGATTCAAACCAGGCTGCAGGGCTTTGGGAACATTTAACCAAGTGCTTAATCGATGTGTTTAAAGTGTGGCCAGGTACCATTGAGGAACATGGTGTGTTCTAGTTGGGACACAATCTCTTATTATTTTAACAGTTTTATATTTATTTTAATATGTATTAGAAAAACAATAACTAACATATCCAACCTGTGATTTCACAGATTTTGCTGATGAGGCTAAAGTAGGTAGCACCACAGCCATCCACCTCCTACAGACCACTTAAAGTACAAGCAGAGTGCTTAAGTAGTGTGTTGAGATAGCAAAACTTGTAAAGATGGCATACAAATCACTGAAGTTCTAGAAATAATATGCTAAATTATAAATTAGTCTGTAGAACCTCCAAACCACCTAGTGACGATGGAAAAGGGATTTGGCTGGCAAGAGGGGCTAGGTGGCAGTGGTGCTCAATAGCCATAAAAATCTGAACGGCAAACCAAGGCAAGAGAAGCTCTGTGTTTATCAATGTCATATATTTTCCCTAAAAATGGTTGGCTTTGGCCTTCATCTTATAGTATATGATGAAGACACATTGACAGTCATACCTAAAACCGGTATTCTAAATTTCTAAATCCAAAATCCCCGTCCACTTACTTACCACCACCCTGCTTGGGTTTCTGGAAGATGTGGCCCAGAGCATGCCAGCACCATGAACTCTGTTAATTCCTGGTGGGACTTTAGCCTCAATCCCTTCCTGGTCTCCTAGTCTAGCAAGCTGGAATGTACCCCATAGGACACTTGGGTCTTAAAGTCAGCCCACTTCTCCTTCCTAAGACTCTACTGCCTAGAATAGTGGCCTCATTGTAAATCTTTGGTGACTCAATTTCAGCCCTCCTGTCACTCAGAGAGCAATTTGATTTGGGTAAGCAGGAAGTAAGCATAGCCCAAAACTCCACTCTTGAAAAATAAATGTGGCATCATTATGTGGCTCTTACCATGTGCTGAGGCCCAGGTGTGTCCCCAGTGAGTTCCCAGATCAGGTACCTAGTTATTTGCTATCCTCTTCCAGATACATCTAAATTTAGACTGATTTCTATTTTTTTTTTTTTTTTGGTGTCTCTATTCTGCTTTCAGCTAACTTCAGTCAACCTGAAATACTGCTAATTTCTAATAGAACAGAAAATTCTGACATCATAAATTTGACCTGCTCATCTACACAAGGTTACCCAGAACCTAAGAAGATGTATTTTTTGCTAGAAACTGAGAATTCAACTACTAAGTATGATGCTGTCATGAATAAATCTCAAAATAATGTCACGGAACTATACAACGTTTCTATCAGCTTGTCTTTTTCAGTCCCTTCCGAAACAAACAATGTGAGCATCTTCTGTGTCCTGCAGCCTGAGCCAATGGAGACAGAGCTTCTCTCCCCACCTTACAATATAGGTAAAGCTGCTTCCCAAGACTATTTCTTTTATCAGGTATTATATACAAATGGTTAAGGCAGATCATCCAATGTCTCCTGCTTGCCAAGAAACCTGCAACTGGGCCATTTTATGATACTGTTAGGAAGGACCCAAGCAGAAGGCTCCTGCTTCATCTGAGTGCTGCAGGGTCCAGGAAGCTGTGAACTTATGCCACACTTGAAGAAGCACGTTCTTAGCCCTGAGACTGACTCAGTCTTTAGGGTACGTTTAGATAGAAGATTCTGAAGTTTAGGTCAGAAAATGCAGGATTCCTCCAGGCTAGAATTCTTCTCCTCATTAAAACACACATACACACACATATCCCATGCATACGGCACTTGTTGTGAGTATAGAACCATTCTAGACATTGTTGGTTGAAGGGGTGAAAACTAAAATGCATAAGACATGCTCTCTGCCTTTGAGGACCTTCTAATAGAATCAGAACTCCATGATGTACACATGTGGAAAACTGGATTTTAAAAAGATTGAATTCTAATCTAAATTATATCCTGTGGAAATATGTGACTACATTTAAAACAAAAGCGACTGAGAATCAGTTTTATAGTTTTATAGTACTCCTTTATTCAGAGGTAGGCAAGTTCCTTGAGGGCCAGAGAAGGCTTCCTAAAGGAAGTAGGACATTTTCACACCATAAAAGAAATAATTAAGCTTAACAAGTGTGGTGAAGAGATGGCAGGTACTCCAACTTGTGGTGGCTTCCTGAACAGGAAGAAAAATTCGGAGACAGCATCCAGGCTTAGAAGGTGAGAGGACCACAATTGATTAGCAGTATCTGATGTGACCACAGGTGGGGATGGTGGGCATCAATGCACACGTGTCAAGGAAAGACTCAGAAGCAGAAATGCTTGTGGCATGTTGACAATGTAGCACAGGGACCAGTCTAGCTGGAGGAGAGGGTTAAAACTAAGCAGTATCCACTAATAGGTGCCTGCCATTTTAAAGTCCTGTCTCTGCCCTGGAGGGAATGCATCCATATTTGAGACACCACTTTTCAGGAGCAGTAACTGCAAGATTCTCTCCTGGAATAAAGGCATTCTGCACCCATGGTGTCCTCATCACTGCTTGTTCTGATCCTGACTATCCCCACCCATCTGCCTTCTGCTTGCCTTGGCCCTTCCCCAGCTCTGGCCCCTGGGTGTGCCCTTTCCTAAGTCATTCATCCAGCTCCTGCTCCAGCCTCTGGCTTTGCTGCCTTCCCTCTCCTGGCATGTCATCGTTCAGACATAACTTGGCCTATGGACACATTCTTATGGACAGCCCCTGGGGCCAATCCCCACCAGCCAGCTTTACCAGTAGGCCAATCCTCTCTCCTGGTACTGATTTTCTTCTCAGACAACTCTGCCTCTGAGAGTCCAGTAAATGGTGAGGCCTGTTCTGGTTGTTTTTCCTGTAGCCTCTCTTGGCCTGATAGAAGCTCCCAAGCTATCCCTGAAGTTCAGCACCTTCTTGGAGCTACCAGCGTCACCACACATGACATGCCCTGGGGCCCTCTGCCATGGCTCCTACAATCTACAAATGAACAGGACCTGGCTACCACAATGCCCTAATCATGGATCACCTTTCTGCTGCTTCTCAACAACTGCCAAAACTTTGCCAGCTACCACCATCTTCAGAAACGTTTCAGCTCTAGCTGCCTCAGGAAGACGGGGTTGCCTCTCTGGGTCCCTACTCTATGGCATGATCAGTGATAGGTTAGACTCTGAGTCAAGAGACCTTTTTGGGTGTCAAAAGGTAGCAGTCTCCATGTTAACAAGTATAACCTCCCCTTACTGGGAATGCCAGACAGGCTGAAGTGGGTAAACTGGGACAGACTCAAAAAGTGTTGAATATGGCTGCCGTGCCAACAGCTCCTTCTCTTAATGTCCCAGGAACAGGGCATGTGTCCACAAATTGCAGCTAAGCTAATGGGAGGTCAGCTGGTTCCATTTTCCTATAATTTGAAATTAACTACCAGAACTGTTCCCACAAATGTCTATAAAGTGGACCGCTCAGTTCTAAGTTTTCCCCCCAAAGCCTGTTTTTCAACTTCCTAGAAACTTAGGAGTCCCCATGCAAGGAAGTAAGTCTGACCTCCCAGGAGATGATTCTGACCCTCAGAGCAGGAAGAGATATCAAAGTTTTTCTTGTAGGTGAGACTTGATGAAAACCATGCTTAAGGAAAGACAAACAAACAAAAATGGAGGTTAGAGGCCTGTGAGGAGGCTGTTATATTTGTCCAGGTGAGAGGTGTCTGGAGTCTGATCTAGAGATGAGAGCGGATGGAGGAATTATTAAAAGGGAAACTTCAGGACCTGGGGCCTGACTACATATGGGGCTGAGGAAGCAGGGCACCAGACAGATGACTGTACCTTCTCAGCCTCAGCGTGGGTGCCTCACCCAGATTCCAGACCCGAGGGCCAGGTTGATCCTCTTCTTCTAGATCACAGTCATTGTTATCCCAGCCTCTAGGAAAGGAAGGTAGCTGAGTCCAGGCATTTGGCCAGAGGCACAGGCTTGGTTCTTAGTTAGCTGCTGAGGCCCTAAGACTGGTACTTTGTATGGCCCTATCTTGTGGATTTCAGGCTCCTCTGCCAGCCCTGGGGAGATGCTGGCACATAAATAAAGAGAACAGCAGCAATTATAAAACTTTTGTAATTCACCTTCTTGGCCGATTGAAAACTTGTGGTCGTTTCTAGGTGCAAAGCCACGTGAGACACCCCTGCCTGACAAAGACCACACCGTCTGGATTGCAGGTCTACTTCTAACATTGGTCATTGTGTGTGTGATGCTGTTGTTTCTAACCCGAAGGAAATGGAAGAAGAGGCAGCCTGGCCGCTCTCGTGAGTGTGGTGAGTCACTGCTTCTCCTCTTTGCAGGTTGCCACGTTGCAGCTACTTCTCCATCAGCTGTCTTCTGGAGCTCATTGGCAAAAGTTCAGCAAGTGGTTGGAGGAAAACCTTTTCCGTCAGGGTTTGGAGCCTATGTAGACGGGACTCAACAGCTGATAACCCTGCTCTGGATTTCTAGAAAAGGCAACATTTCTAACCTAAGGTTTACAAGTGTACTTCAGGTTTCCAGGCAAAGCTGATTATTCTTTGCTTTACCTATCTCACTTCGTGAGGTTACTGTGAGAATTCCATGACGTAAAATGGTGAAAACACTTCTAGATGTTAATGATTATGGACCTGGTGGTGTTCAGGAAGGGATACTTGATGAGGCGGGGAGGAAGGATTGATGACCATAAGATTTATCTTATCTCTAAAAGTCTAGTTTCCTGAGAAATAAGTTGAATGAATTGTTCCCTGCTGATTTTTTTTTTTTTGTGAGGAAGATTGGCCCTGAGCTAACATCTGTTGCCAATCTTCCTCGTTTTTTGCTGAGTAAGATCGGCCCTGAGCTAACATCTGTGACCATCTTCCTTTATTTTGTATATGGGATGCCACCATTGCATGGCTTGATGAGTGGTGCATAGGTCTGCACCCGGGATCTGAACCTGAGAACCCGGGGCCGCTGAAGCAGAGCGTGTGAACTTAACCACTACACCACTGGGCAGGCCCCTGTTCCCTACTGACTTTTTAAAAATAATATTAACTTTTATTGATTACCAAGTATCACATACCCATTACCAAATATATTGAAAATAAAAATCACCTATAGTTCCACTAGTAAGAAAAAAGTGATTATGCAGACAACATTTTGGTGTATATCTTCCAGGTTTTTCTATATATAAATCTATGTTATTTTCCATAAGTGGGATAATATTATAAGGACTGTTTTTCACAATTTGGATAATATCACATGTACTTTTTTCTAACTTTTTTGTACTAAATGCAGCAAGAAAAATTTCGACATCATTAAATATCATTCTACATCATCATTTTTAAATGGCTGCAAAATATTCCACTATGTTGATACACCTTAATTTGTTTAACCAACTCCATATTGTTGGACGCTTGGGTTGTTCTCTTAGTTTTGCTGTTGTGAATAGCACTGCATCAAGTAGCCTCCTCATTGACTTCTGTTGTAAAAGTGGCATTGCATTTAATGGGAGGCAAAGTGGTCCCCAACTTTATAATAATCCCATGCCCATTTGTGGTTTGGCTGGTTTGGATGAAGTTGTAAGATAAGGTTGGACTTTATCTCAGTAATTGCCTCCAGTAGAAGTTTGGTTGGTGCTCATAACTGAGGTAACCTTCTTACTCACTTATGGTGAAAAGCACAGGATGAGTAATGCTTCTGGTCAGCATCTTATTTAAGATCTCAGTGTACTGATTTTAAGATCCATCTATTTAAGAAAATAGATGGGTGACATTATCAGTCATTCATTTTGTCCTGCTGTATTTTAAAAACAGGAAATTGGGGCATGATTACCCAATTTCAATAAATTAATACAAAGCACAGGCAGTTCCATTCAAATTGCCAAAGTGTGGCATGTGCTGAGGGATTTCTATGATATAAAAGTGTAAAATTCAGAACACAGGGTCAGATGTATGGATATATCATGCTTGTTGAGGCTTTGACTTTTCAAGGTGAGAGTTTGTAGCTTCTCTTTCTTCCAGTCTTCTTGTCATTTAGAATTAACTAAATGTGCAAAAGCAACCTTAAGCTTGGGAATAAGCTGTGTGCTAAATTTGCTTTCACATTGGGATGATTAGCTTATAAATGAAACAAAGAAGAAGGGATGGAGAAAAAGAGAATAAGAATGCTTCTTCCCCCAAGAGGCAATCAGAAAAATTCAGGAGACCAGATAAGGGAGTTAAAGAGGTTGTGTGTATACACATAAGAGAAGTTGGAAGGGGGTTCAAGAAGCTATGTGTGTGTGTATGAGTTGGTCAAATTGAGCTATGAGTAGTAAAAGGCAGAAGACATCAAGAGATCATAGCATATATATATGACCCCCCCAAGAATGTGATAAGGAATATTGGTGGAAAAAAGTTATTTGGTCAGTCACCTGTGCCAGTGAGTTTGGTCAAAGAGAAGAGCCTTGATATCACCAGAAGGAGGGAGATGTACCGAGTAACCATGCCATGTAGATACGAGACATTTGTAAATTTGAATTCTGTAACTTCAGCAATGTCTGCACTTGCTTTGTGAATACCTCCAGCATGGGCTATATGATAGGCAGAACAATGACCCCAACACGATGTCTACCTCCTATACCCCAGAGTCTATAATATGTTATCTTACATGGCAAAAGGGACTTTGCATATGTGCTTAATGTGCCGATTTTAAGATGATGAGATTATCCTGGATTATCCAAGTGGACCCAATCTAATCACTTGAGTCAGAGACCCTTTCCCAGCTGGGTTAGAAAGATGAGATGAAAGGAGGAGAGATCCAAAGGTTGAGATAGGCTCAACCCACCAGTACTGGCTTTGAAGATGGAAGAAGGGGCCATGAGCCAAAAAATGTAGGTGGCCTCTAGAAGCTGGGAATGGCCCTCAGCTGAGAGCCGGAAAGGAAATGGGGATCTCAGTCCTACAACCATAAGGAATTAAATTCTGCCAACAGATAGACATGGAAGCAGACATGATCCATCCACAGAGACACAAGCTTACTGATAACCAGTAGGAATTTCTCCAACAATGGTGCTTCCTCCTAATCCAGTATTAGTCCTTTTCTCAGAGGAGATGGCACTCTAACTTGTCATCAAAAGTCATTTCCAGTGTTTGTTCAGTAATTATAGTTTTTCTGTGCCTCAATCGTACATATTTACCCCGTTTGGGCTGTTAAATGAATAAAAGGGAAATGCCATGGTTATTCTAGCTGGTTTCTAATCTCTCTTCTCTTTTTTTGTTATGTCAAATAGGGCAGCTAAGGCATGAGAAATTGTAACCTTGAATTACTGTCTTTTCCCAATCAGAAGTTACCCTATCAGCTTACCTATTGGGGAGAAAGACTAAAATAGCTCCTCCTGAAGTTTTAGTTCCTCATGTGGGTCTTGTGTGACTGAAATCTGAATGTAATAGTGCCCTAGCAAGCAACAGTCCTCCTTCCACCAAACGTGGAAGAGTCTCAGCATTTTCAGGAATGATTTCTTAAAGGTCACATGTCTTTTCCAAAATAAATCATTTTGAACCACCGTTTACACAGAAACCTTCATAGGGCTTAAAAACTGAAAGTTGGTGATATCATCACATCTGCCCTTCAAAATGCTAAATTTGTAGTTGAGTCCAAAAGTTTAGAATCTGCCTTTTTATTATCTGCTTTCACTTTAAAATAGAAGCTTTTTTTTTTAAATGATGAGTATGAGAATTAGGGTGAAAGGATAATATAATTATTCAGTGTTGATCTGCAGACATCTGAAATACTGTATTCAGCTATAAACATCATTATTTTTAAGAAGAACTTTGACAAAAATAGAATGTAACCAGATTTATAAAGTGTCTGGAAGTTTAGTCAGATGAGAAATAGCTCAAGTAACTGAGGATGCTTAGCCAGAAAAAAAAGTCTTGGGGAGGACACCCTACTGCCTTCAAATATCTGATGAGTGCCATAAGGTACAAAGATGGTACTCAGCTGTGGCTCCAAAGGGCATCTCAATGGATGAAGGTTATAAGAAGTTATAAGGAAAGGGGCTGGCCTGGTGGCGCAAGCGGTTAAGTGCGCACGCTCCGCTGCGGTGGCCCGTATTTGCCGGTTCAGATCCTGGATGCGCACTGACGTACTGCTTGGCAAGCCATGCTGTGGCAGCATCCCATATAAAGTGGAGGATGATGGGCATGGATGTTAGCCCAGGGCCAGTCTTCCTCAGCAAAAAAAAAAAAAAAAAAAGAGGAGGATTAGCAGATGTTAGCACAGGGCTGATCTTCCTCACACACACACACACAAAAGAAGGTATAAGGAAATAAGAGAGACTCTTCTAACTATTAAAGATCTTTAAAAATTACATGGAAGACATAGACTTCTCCTTCCTTCCATGAAGGATTAACTGCTACAGAAATTGCCCTCCTGCCTTAAACCACTAGAAATCAGACAATATATATGAAACACTGTTTGCAGACCTTGGACAACAGGCTGCAGAAAACTGTAGTCCCTGAGAGAAGGGAAAAGATGAGATGAGCTCTGTGATTGCCCTCAACTTACTGCCTGGAGTCAGTTTCCAGGCTGCTCTGAAGGTAGGGGGAGCTCTGATACCAAAATTAGAAAAAGTCATTACAAGAAAAGAAAACTACACACATCCCTTGTGAACATAGATGCCAAAATCCTTAACAAAATTAGCAACTAAAATCTAGCAACATCATGATCAACTGGGGTTTATTTCAGGAATCTAAGGTAGGTTCAGCATCCAAAAATCAAGCAATAAAACTCACCAAATTGACAGACTAAAAAGAGAAACCATGTGATCATACCAATGGATACAGAAAAGGCATTTGGCAAAATTAATACTTATTCAGAATTTTTAAAAAGAAAGAAAGAAAAACTCTCATAAAAGTAGGAATAACAAAGGAACTTCCTAACCTGACAAAAGACAGTATCATATTTAATGATAAAAGACTGATTGCTTTCCCCCTAAGATCAGGAATAAGGCAAGGATGTCACTCTCACTACTTTTGTTCAACACTGCACTGGAGGTCCTAGCCAGTGCAACAAGTCTAGAAGAAGAGATAGAAGGCGTACATATTGGAAAGGAGGAAGTAAAACTGTCTTTTTTTCGCAAATAACATGATCGTACTTGTAGAAAAGCCTAAGGAATACATTAAAAGAGTCAAAAAATAAACTCACATGGTCCACTGATTTTGACAAAACTGCCAAGGTAATTCCATGCAGAAAGGATAGTCTTTTAAACAAATGATTTTGGGACAATTAGATATCCACATGGAAAAATATGAACCTAGACAAACAAAAAATAACTTGAAGTGGATCATAGACCTAAATATAAGAGCTAAAATTAAAAGACTTTTGAAAGAAAACAGGAGAAAAATCTCTGTGACCTTGGGTTAGGCAAATCTTAGGACACAGTAAGCACAAACCATATCATAAAAAGATAAAATTGATAAATTGAACTTCATCAAAATCAAAAATTTTTGCCCTTTGGATTTGTTAAGAAAATGAAAAATCAAACCACAGACTGGAAGAAAGTGGTTGCAAAATATATATCTAATAAAGGACTTATATCCAGAATATATAATTATATATTACCACTCAGTAATAAGAGGACAATCCATTTAACAAAAGATGAGAAAGAAAAGACTTGACCAGATACTTCACAAAAGAAGACATACAAATGGCCAATAGGCACAGTCACACTGTCACAACATCATTAGTCATTAGGGAAATAAAAATTAAAGCTAAAATTAGATACCACTACACACCCACTAACATGGCTAAAAATTAAAAGGCCTGATAAATATCAAGTGTTGGTGAGGCTGTGAAGCAACTGAAATTCTCATGCACTGCTATACAACCCCACAATCCTAGATATTTACCTATGAGAAACAAAAACAAATGTCTACACAAGTGTCGATAGCAGCTTTCTTCATAATACTGAAAACATGACCTCCTGAATTTTCATCAATTGGTGAATGGATAAACAAATGGTGGTATACTCATACAATGAAATACTGCTGAGCTATAGAAAGGAATGGACTACCGGTAACATGCAACAACACGGATGAATTTCAAAAGCATTATGCTCAGTGAAAGATGCCAGGCACAAAAAGACTACACATTATATGGTCCTATTTATATGAAATTCTAGAAAAAGCAAAACTATTGGGACATTAAGCAGGTCAATGGTTACCAGATGATGGGGTGGGAGAAAGGGCTTGATTGAAAAGAGGCGGGAGAGAACTTTTGGGGCTTATAGAAATGTTCCATATCTTGGTTATGGTGGTAGTTAACAAGACTGCATCCATCTGTTAAACTCACCAAAATCTATACAGAAAGTGATTGGATTTTATTGTATATTAATTATAACTCAATAAAGCTGATTATTTTTAAACACAGACACACACACACACACAAAAGAGAACTGCCGGGGCCGGCCTGGTGGCATAGTAGTTAAGTTTGCATGCTCTGCTTTGGCGGCCCGGGCTGTGCGGGTTCGGATCCCGGGTGCAGACCTACATGCTTCTCATCAAGCCATGCTGTGGAGGCATTCCACATGCAAAATAGAGGAAGATTGGTACAGATGTTAGCTCAAGTACAATCTTCCTCAAGCAAAACCAAAAAACAACAAAAAAAGAACTGCCAATGATAGGAAGTATTCAAAACCAACAGGGGTGTTGTTGAGAGGATTCTTGTAGTCCCTAAATTCTTCGATGGATACTCAGGTTAACAGCCCCTGCTGTAAGGCTCTGAATGGGACAACAGCACCAACACAACAGTCAATATTGAGGAATTTACACCCTGGGTTGCATCAGTACTAAGTCTGTACTAATAGCAACTCAGGCTTTGGGAGGTCTAGCCAGCCAGAGATCCCGCTTGGGCCCGTCCATGCAATATTGTGTAGTATTTGGTAGCACCAGCTGGCTGACCCATTTAGGCATCAACATATTTAAGATTTCCTTTTCCTTTTCCTTCTCAACCTTACTTTCAGAAAAGGATTGCAAACTCTTCCGATTACTAAATGATTGCTAAAACTAAATGTGTTACCCTTCCCAGCAGTATTTTTATTTTAGCAAAGAATAGAGCTATAAGTGAAAAACGTATTTCCAACATTAGAACTTAAGGCACAGTGAGCAAAGGAAGGCATTTGCTTTTTGGATGCAAGGAGCTCCTCCTCAGTCTCTCTGAAGTTGCATCAAGTAACTGTCTATTCCACATATAAGACCACAATGATTTCTCTCTGAGTCCTTAGGACTTTGGAACCTCTTCAGACTTTCCTTCTTTTAATATCTATGGGCAATATATTTTCTGAGGTTGTTTTGGTCTGTTTCAGAAACCATGAGAGTGGAGGAGAAAGAGAGTGAACAGACTGAGGAAAGGTGAGTCCTGACCAACAACATTGTTGAAAGAGGTACAATTCTCAGAGGGTCTGTAACTTGAATAGGCTTGAGTCTGAGGCATGTTGAGACCCCAGAAAACATGAACTAATGGAGAGGGAAAGGACAGTGAGACTATTTAGGGCCTGGAAGGAAATGTCCTAGCTATAAACGGATGGCGGGGTGTCCAATGCACAATGCCCAAGGGGTGTGGCAAGCTCAGTCATGGTCAAGTAAGAAACCGTTCCAAGGAGGTCTGCTGTGGTGAGCAGGGCTGCGTCTTACTTACCGTGGTAACCCCAGTACCTAGCGCAGTGCCCAGACGAGTGGGTCTCCTGCATGTGTGAAATGAATAAATGGATAAGTGAGGAGTGATAACATGCTTCCTCTAGCCTCAGTGTCTTTGCATCTGCTTGAAATGTTCTTCTGCCACTTCTTCACCTCATTCTTCAGATCTTAGCTCAAGCTGTACTTTCTTAAAAACGCTTCCCAAAGTAGATTATGTCACCCTGGTATAGTGTCATGTGGGTCCCTGTGCTTTTTCTTCACCAGGTTATACTTACATATTTGTGTAATTGTCTTATTAAACTCTATAAACTGAACTAAACTAAACCAAACTCTGGAGAGGGCAGGGACCATATGAGTTAAGCTCATCATTGTGCTGCCAGCACCTAACACAATGCCTGGCATTTGGTAGGTGCTCAAAAAATATTTTTTTTCTATTGTGAAATTGCAGCAGCAGATACGTTTGCATCTATAGAAAGTAGCCTTATTATAATACTAACAATTTTCTGTAGTTATAATTTTCCTGGTGTCTACTGGTTGAGAGAAGATAGGACTTATTCATAGAATTTACACTCTAGTGGTTTGATAAATATAGAACACGTTGAAAAGAAGTTTCATGAAAAAGTAAACGCTATTCTTCAGGGCTTTAGTTTCTCTTACATTTGCTTTCAGCTGAGCGATATTATAAGTTGTTTATTTGATTTTTATTTATTTTTCATTTATATGGCTTTCTTTCTAGATCCTTTACCTAATCAAATCCAAATAAGAACAGCACTTAAGCAACCCTAAATGTGGCATAGGGAGAAATGTTGTATATCTTTATCTTTATTTTATCTTTTGTTCACATACTAAGGGCTATGGAAGGCAAAATGTGGGAAGGTGCTTTTTGTTTTCTTTTTTAAGAGTTCAAGTTTTCAGGATTTTTTTTTTTACTCAGTTTATTTAAACTAAAAACATGGAACAAAAAAAGTTCACCCATTTCTCCCACCCCACCCTCTCATACCGCCCCCCTCCCCGCCCACACCTCTGGCAACTAGCAATCTGTTCTCTGTATCTATGAGCCTGATTTTTTTTTTTAAATTTTTAGATTCCACATATAAGAGAGATCATGCAGTATTCATCTTTCTCTGACTTATTTCACTTAGCATAATGCCCTCTAGGTTCATCTATGTTGTCACAAATGGCAAGACTTCATTCTTTTTATGGCTGAATAATATTCCATTGTATATATATACTGCAATTTCTTTATCCTTTCATCCATCAGTGGACACTTAGGTTGTTTCCATATCTTGGCTATTGTAACAAATATTTGTTGAAAGAATGAATGTACGCATGAAGGAATATGTGAAGATTCCTGCGATCAGTCCTCTCACAACATGGTGCAATCAGATTATCTACCTCCAACCCCCCTGAGGAACTGGAATCTAAAGAATATCAAGACTCTGGCCACATAACCACAGGGTCAAAGCAACCCTAGTCAAAAGCTTGGTCACAGAGACACAGTCATGACCCCAGGGTGCATAGCCCCCAGAGTGCCAGCACTTATTTGGATACGCCAGATGCCGTGAGTCTAGGAATCCTGGATGGTGAGCCCAGGTGCTGAGATCTTGCCCACCCTGTTAGACCCAGCTCAGAAATGGTCTGGAAGAGCCTGCAGAGGGAAGGCAGCAGGGAATCAGTATAGGGCAGGGGCAGGCCCAGACAAAAATGGTAGTTATTGAAGGAAGCATAGATGACACTTCTCCACCTCTCCCTACAATAGTTTGTTTCTCTTCGTTGCTATTGTAACGGCCCCCTATATTCTGCCCTGTCGTTGAAATCTAGAAAAAGAAAGTGACTCTGCTGTGAAATCTTACCCAATTCTTTTTCTATTTTTCCAGAGTAGAAAATCGTGAAATATCCGATGAAGCCCGGCGTGTTGTTAACATTTCGAAGACAGCCTCAGGCGACTAAAGTGTTACACGTTTTTAATTAAAGAGTAAACTCCATATGACTATCCATTTTTTATATGCTTTCTTTTTCAAGTTTTTGGCTGATCTTTTTTGTCTCCTCAAACCTTCCCAGAAGGCAAAAAAATGTTACCATTAATAACAGTGGGGGCTCCAGGACTCCTAAGTGAAATAGCCTCCCTATAATGCCAGCTCTGCTCCCCAGACCAGGAGCAGATTGTAACTGCTTCTTTTCATTTCAGAGCATATTTGTGGGCCAAGCCCACGTGATTGGTTTCTTGCACAGGAATAATGTTTAAGACTAACACCTCCTGTTTCAGATTCAGCCTCTTTTCTTAATTTTGTAAATTGTGTTTTATGTAGAACTCCCAATTCCTGGAATAGTGGCTTTTATCTACTCTGAATTCTTAGGTAGTGCCTCATTCCATCTTGTGTACCTGTGACTGAACAACTATCTCTTCAGTCTGGGTGGGAGTTATGTATTTTATGGCTTTATAGTGTTAATATTAATATTTTGACATATTAAGAAATGTGTACTATAATAATGTAATTACTATGCCCTGAGAAAAGTCCACCCTCTGCTAAGGAGTTCTTGTCCCTCTGTGAGGGCCAGTAAGGAAAGCAGTGGCCTAGTTGCTGAACAATGAGCAGACCAATTCAAAATTTGGAAAATTAGGAGAGACAGAGATGGAACCAACTCTTGATCCTGGAGCCATTTCTATCTGGGCTGTTGCTAATGCTGAGGAGGATCCACCTACCCAACAAGCTATTGAGAAGCCTTAGCAGAGAGCGCAGGATAAAGCAGGAGTGCACTATACATCACGAACCCTATGTCTCTTCTTAAAAAAAAAGGACTGAGCTGATGGCCAGGGGCAACTGTGCAAGAGTCAACAGAGAGATCACAATACTCAAAAGAGAGAAAAAATGAAAGATCTTGACCAACAGAGATACACGTGAATGTCCGGTCCTTCGACAAGCCTTGGAACAAGCAACAGATTCACAATCTGTCCAAATGGACTGAAGACAGACAGCAGTTTCCCTGGTGGTTGGTGAGAGGTTTTGATGATACCCAAGTTCTTGTGAAGTTTTATCTGGCTGGAAGCAGAGCTGGGGAGGGTGAGCTATCATCCTGATAATGGGATGAATGGGAGAGGCTTAGGACTCTTTCAACTAATGGCTGAGAGAGAAAGAGCTGGAGTGGAATTAGGAGGATGAGGATGCAAATCATCCAGAGGCTGATTTAGCCTGCAGATGTCCTAAGGAGGTACCAGATGGCCCAGAGCAGGACTAGTGAACTGGTGTCTGAGGACTGTCTCTGCGTCATTCTCAACGACAGGAAAACTGGGCATAGGACAGGAATATACCAGCCCAGCAGAAATGAATTAGGAGACCCTGGCTCTATGGTAGCATCACTATGGGATGGAGCAGCCTCAGTCCAAACTTAAAGAAAACTTTGGGAGGCCAAAGCTGCAGAAATAGATTTTATTCCACATAAAGGACCCTAGAGGGTTGTAGACGGCCGTGCTAGCCATGCTTGTCCTTGTAATATTACCATTTATATGCTCACCCTGCCCCTGCCTTCGTTAGGCTCTACGCATGGTACTCGTTCCTAACATGTTTTGTACATATTTCTCAATAAATTTTTATTAAATTTAATTAGAAGTCTACATTTTCTGCTTCTACCTCAACAGTACTACTCGACTCTTGTAGTCTGATGTTACTCTGTCCTTCTAATGTACTTCCTTCCTCTTAATGTCTCTATGGAGGCCCCATTCTCCAATCTCCCTGGCTAGAAGCCTCTGACTCATCCAAGACCCTCTCCTCTTCCCTTTCTCCTAACCATCATATAAGAAAGGGGGCTTATATGATTTTATATGTTTATCTCAGTAATGAGACATAAAAAAAGCAGGTAAAAGAGGTCATTTCTGGGCACAACTGGGAAATTTGGTGTTAAGGAAGGGATCCTGCTTTTCCAATTTGTAATCTTTCATACTCTGTAATTTTTAAAGTATGTGCTTGTATGTATATTAAACAAAAGCTTAATGTAAAAATATTCCTTGAAAATACCTTGATTATAAAATAAATGCATATAACTATATTGTATATTTGAAAGTTGCTAAGAGAGTAGATCTTAAAAGTTCTCATTACAAGGAAAAATAATTTGTAACTATCTGTGGTGATGAGTGTTAACTAAACTTACTATGGTAATCATTTCACAATATATGCATATATCAAATCATTATGTTGTACACCTAAAACTAGTACAATGTTATATGTCAATTATACCTCAATTAAAAATAAACAAATAAATGTGGATGGATGGATAGATAGACAGACAGATAGATATATAGACAGATAGATAGATAGATAAATGATAGCATATGAGAAGAACCAGGGAAATTCTGGAAAAAAGAAAACTGTCTAGGCTCTGTGAGGGCAAGGATTTGTCTAACTTCTTCACCAGTGGATCTCAGGCACCTAAGATAGTACCTCAAAATTATTTGTTTACAGATTGAGTGAAACATTAACATGCCCTCTGCTGAAAAGAACCTTCCTTTATATATTAAATTCTCTAGACCTTCTGTATTCCAAATCTGAGGGAAAGAAAGCCAAGAAAGGTTAAAAGAGGTCATTAGGTATAATAATTGTACCAGCTAACTTTACTGGCGTTTACTTTGTACCAGGCACTCTTCTAAATCTTTAAGCTCATTATTCTATTTAATCGTCACAATGACCTGTGATATAGGTATTGGGATATTATGCCCATTTTGCTGATGAGGAAACTGAGGCACACAGAGGTCAAAGTGATTTGACCTCCAACATCACTAACTTAGTAAGTGACAGAGCTGGGGAAAATTTCACGAAGCATCACCCGCTCCACCCCTTTGTTTCCCAGCCTAGTGTTTTCTGGCCATGGAAGAGACAGCATTTTGGTCGGTTGCAGGTTGAGTGCCTACATTACATCTTGCACTCCGTTACCTCAGCCCTCCAAAGTGGTGCCTCCAGAGGACCATCACTGAGTTTTCCAGAAGCCATTCCATCATCTCATAAGGCCAGAGCTGTGTATGATAAGGCATGTGATATGCCCAATGAAAATGAGTTTTTGGTCACAGGAAAAGTGAAGTACAATTGCTGCCTCCTACTCCTCCTCCTCTGCCCCTGCCACTTATTCTTTTGCAATCCACCCTCCTCCCTCTGCCTTCTAAAGCCAGTTTCCTCCTCTCAGTGTCCTCATGTTTGTTAACCCAGGCTAGAAAGCATAGAGTCATCTCTGACTATTGCTCTCCAACCTTGCCCTCAGCACCCACAGCCCAACCCACCCACCTGCCACATTTGGTCATCATCAGGCCAGGCAAGCATTCTTCCAATGAGGAAGGGCCCTTATTTCCTCATTCCAAGAATGTGACGATCACCACCCAACCGATCCCAGTTTATTGTCTTGTCTATCATATATAGTGTGTGTATAGATGTACATACATATACAGTGTACATATACGTATATGTGTGTGTACATATATATATATATTTTTCCCCCTTATTCAAGCTTTTTGGTTTTACTTTACACCTAAGCAACCTAAACTTAAGGCTCTTGCTAAGATGGTTAAGAGAGATACTAGTCTGTAGTGTAATCCTTCATATTAAAAATATACTTCTTTTTTAAAAATTATTTTTTTGAGGTCACATTGTCTAATTTCAGGTGTACATTATTATATTTCAGTTTCTTTATAGACTGCATCGTGTTCACTACCAATTAGTTTTTATCCATCACCATACATATATGCCCCTTTACCCCTTTCATCCTCTCCCCCACCCCCTTCCCCTCTGGTAACCACCAATCTGTTCTTATCTGTATGTTTGTTTATTGTCCACATATGGGTGAAAACATATGGTATTTGTCTTTCTCTGTCTGACTTATTTCACTTAGCATAATACCCTCATGTCCATCCACGTTGTTGCAAATGGCACGATTTTGTCTTTTTTATGGCTAAGTAGTATTCCATTGTATATATACACCACATCATCTTTATCTATTCATCCGTTGATGGGCACTTGGGTTTCTTCCACATCTTGGCTGTTGTGAATAATGCTGCAATGAACATAGGGGTGCATAAATCTTTTTGAATTATTGATCTCATGTTCTTTGGATACATACCCAGTAGTGGAATAGCTGGATCATATGGTATTTCTATCTTTAATTTTTTTAGAAATTTCCTACTGTTTTCCCTAGTGGCTGCACCAGTTTGCATTCCCCCAGCAATGTAGGGTTCTCTTTTCTCCACATCCTCTCCAACACTTGTTATTTCTTCTCTTGTTAATTATAGCCATTCTGACAGGTGTGAGGTGATATCTCATTGTAGTTTTGATTTGCATTTCACTGATGATTAGTGGTGTTGAACATCTTTTCATGTGCCTGTTGGCCATCTGTATATCTTCTTTGGAAAAATGTCTGTTCACATCCTCTGCCCATTTTTTGACCCGGTTTTTCATTTTTTTGTTGTTGAGTTGTATGATTTCTTCATATATTTTGGAAATTAACCCCTTGTCAGATATATGGTTTGCAAATATTTTCTCCCATTTGGTGGGTTGTATTTTCGTTTTGTTGATGGTTTCCTTTGCTGTGCAGAAGCTTTTTAGTCTGATGTAGTCCCATTTGTTTATTAAAAAATACTTCTTTATTGTATCAGTCTTCAGCCTCAGCCATATGCCATATGCCAACATTACTATGGATCTTGTAATAAAAGTGAGGTTCCATTGGCTTTCACCATGTCTGCCTGTTCACTCCAGGAAGAAAAATACTTACAGATATGGAGTCCTGCACTGCCCTTAGAGCAAATTTTCTAACCTACTCCAATCTGAACAAGTTACATCCTAGGACTGATGAACAACAGTCATCCTGAACTGGATCTTCTATTTCCTGCATTTCCCATATTTGTCTTTTTTGATTTACTCCCTCACTTTGATGGTACATATCCATGAGTGGCCTTCTGAGAAAGGATATGTGGGAAGTAAATTTAGTGAGATTTTTGTGTATCTGAAAATGTCTTTATC